ACAGCAGCAGCAGCAACAGCAACAGCAGCAGCAGCAACAGCAACAGCAGCAGCAGCAGCAGCAGCAGCAACAGCAGCAGCAGCAACAGCAGCAGCAGCAGCACTGGGCCGTTGCATGGTTCGAGGGGCGGCGTCTCCTTTGACTTCTTTTTTTTGCTGCTGCTGCTGCTGCTGTTTGCGGTGTATGCGCTGACACCGGAAGCAGCAAGAAGACGCATAATAATTATTTGTTTTGCTGCTGCTGCTGCTTTTGTTGCTGCCGACAAACTAGTGCCGCACTTCGCCAGAAAACTGCTTCAAAACGGTACTTTGCTGCTGCTGCTGCTGCTAGTGCTGCTCTTGCTGCTGCTGCTAGTGCTGCTCTTGCTGCTGCTGCTAGTGCTGCTCTTGCTGCTGCTGCTAGTGCTGCTCTTGCTGCAGCTACTACTTCTGCAGTGCTGGCAGTACTATTTCTGCTGCTGCTGCTGCTGCTGCTGCTGCTGCTGCAGGGTTTGCAGGTCGAGACCTGCACAAGCCTTCTTCTTCACCTCTGGTGCCGGAAGCTGTTGGGCTTTGCTCTATTTTTTGTTTTCTTGCTGCTGCAACAGCAGGGCAGCTGCTGCTAGACAGAACTCAGCTCCAAGTATAACTGCTGCTGCTGCTGCTGCTTCTTCTGCTGCTGATCGGACTGCTGCTGCTGCTGCTGCTGCTCATCGTGCTGCTTCTGCTGCTTATCGTGTTTCCGCTGCTTTTGGTGCTGTTGTTGCTGCGCTTGCTGCTTCTGCTGCTCTTGCTGCTGCTCCCCAGTGTGGGTTGTGCTTTGCTGCTGCTGTTTCTGTTGCTTCATTTATCTTGCTGCAGCTGCTGCTGCTGTCTGTATTTCGCTGCTGTTGCTGCTATCTGGCTGCCGCTACTATATGTGTATTGTTTTTGCTGCTGCTGTTGCTGCTGCTGCTGCACCTGCGAGCTGCTGCTGATGACCGTGAGACTTTATCTTGCTGCTGCAGCTGCTGCTGTTGCTGTTGCTGTTGCTGTTGCTGCCTGCCTTCACTGCCAACTACTCCATCTCTTCTGCTGTGTGTGATGCTGCTGTTGCTGCTCTCGTTACTGCTGCTGCTGCTGCTCTCCCTGCTGCTCTCCCTGCTGCTGCTGCTGCTGCTGCTGCTGCTGCAGTTGGTTGAGTATCCTGCTGCTTTATTAGGAGCGACATGTATGGGTTTCCTAGGATTTGTTGACGACGCTTTGTCTCTGCCTTGGGCAGTCAAGCTGAGCCTCCCTCTACTTGCTGCTGCACCTCTTGCTGCTGCTTACAGCGGCAGCACAACTGTAGTGCTTCCTTGTGCGGTGTATACGCACCTGCAGCACTGGGGGCAAGCAGCAGCAGCAGCAGCTGCTGCTGCTGCTGCTGCTGCGGCGGTTCCTGCTGCTGCAATCCTACACGCACTCCGACACTCTATAGGTGGATTAAGCCTGCTGCTGCAGCAACTCTCTCAGGAACAACAGCAGCTGCTGCAACACCTGCAACAGCAGCAGCAGCAGCAGCAGCAAGCACATTTTGGCCTTGCCTCTTCCCTTGCATCTGCAGCAACAGCTGTTGCTGCTGCTGCGCGGTGGATCTTCTCAGGGCTGCTGCAGTTGATTGATACTGCGGTGAGAGCTGCTGCAGCAAGCTGTTCATACACCGGAGTTGCTGCTGCTGCTGCGGCTGCGTTCGTCAGTTGCAGAGGAGTTGACTGCACCGAAGCATTTCGTGTTGCTGCAGTGTCTATCTTTTTTTGCCTGCTGTTGTTGCTGCTGTTGCTGCTGCTGCTGCTGCTGTTGCTTCTTTGCAGCACCGCGCTTTGTTGCAGTTCACTTCAACAGACGCCCTCAGCAGCAGCAGCAGCAGCAGCAGCAGCAGGGACGACTGCAGCAGAGGGGGTTGGTTGTTAGTGGATGTGGGGCGGCTGTATTATATTTATATGACTCTTCTGACTGTCTTCTGCACAAATGCAATCAATATCTATGCGGGTGAGCTGCTGCAGTTGCTGCTGCTGCTGTTGCTGCTGCTGTTAGTGCTGTTCCTGCTATTGCTGCTGCTGCTGCAGCGGCGACGCAAACTACAGTAGCAGCAGCAGCAGCAGCAGCAGCAGCACAGGCCACGGGGAGTATCTGAAGGCAAAATCACCCAGACCAGCAGCAGCAACTGCACCTGCACCTGCAGCAGCAGCAGCAGCAACTGCAACTGCAGCAGCAGCAGCAACAACAACAACAGCAACTGCAGCAGCAGCAGCAGCAACTGCAGCAGCATATATATATTTTGTCTTTGTTTGTTTGTAGGTATTAATGGGTTGGAGGTTGGACAGTCGGCAGTCATCGCTGCATTTGTTTGCATACACAGCGCCCTTGTCAGCTTTTTTATTTATTTATTTTATTTATTTTGTTTATTTATTTTATTTATTTTATTTATTTTATTTATTTTATTTTGTTTTGTTTATTTATTTATTTTATTTATTTTATTTGTTTAAGTTTATTTGTTTTGTTTATTTTATTTATTTTGTTTAGTTGTTTATTTTATTTTATTTATTTTATTTATTTTGTTTATGTTATTTTATTTATTTTGCTTATTTTATTTGTTTTATTTATTTTGTTTATTTTATTTTATTTATTTTGTTTATTTTATTTATTTTATTTGTTTCTGTTTGTCTTTTGTTTATTTTATTCTTCTCTTCTCG